TCGCCTGGTCTCTGAAATTCTGCTCCCTCTCTATCCACCCCACCCTTCCTCCTCCTCCACCCCCCCTCCTCTGGCCAGCTGCAGCCTGGGCACAGCACCAAGACAAACGCTGTCTCACTGTCCACCCTCCTGGGCCAACCCTCCAGGGGTGGAGTAGGGTGGTTCTTAAAGGGCCCAGCACAACACCCCTGCCACCCAGGAGGGGTCTCTAGGAATGACTGGGACTAAGTGGAAGAACCATGCCAGTGTGGCTGAAGAAGCCTGTCTGGGCAGTGGAAAGACTCCATCTCCATCAGCTAGGACCAGGCACCCACCTTTGCTTCGCATTTTCTGTGTGTGGCCACCTTGCAGACTAGAGAGGAAAGGGAGAAAAAGGTTAGCAGGGACTTATGGGAGCAGTGAAAGCGGCCATCCTCCACTTCCGCAGGCCCTGAAAGCCAACCCTGGGACTTAACACTAGATTGCTGGAGTTGTGAGCAGGGCAGGGTAACAGCAGGTTCTGCTCCTGAGTCAGGGGAAAGGGCCAGAGGTTCTGATCTAGGATGGATGGAGGTGAGGAGGAAGGCAAGCCCTTGTCACGGGTGGATGTGAGTGAGGGTCCTGTTTCTGTCCTGTGAGTCTGCCTGCTCCTGGAGCCAGCGCAGTGGGCGCACTGAGTGGAGGGCTCAGAGCAGGAGGGAACGGCACCTCACCTCGGCAGGAGACACCTGTGCCGTCGATGGTGACTTTACACACTGCACACACTGGAGCTTTCTTCCGGAAAGCCTTCTCTCTGAAGCTGTGTGGTTCTGCTTTCCTAGGCTGCGGGCGGGATGGCAGACAGATGGAGGTGTGAGTTCCTAGTGGGCCCATCTCCAGGCTGGGCAGGAGCCTTGCCGTAGGACAGCGCCGCTTCCCTCTGAACTCTCAGGCACACTTGGCCACAGCTGTTTCAGGGTAGTCACGGGGCCTGTCCTCTACAGGGCTTGGAATGTGACCCCTTGCGTCACCTTGGCTAGGTCAGCTCCTCCCTAAGAGATCACTTAGGCCCCTCACGTGGCCCTGCTATGTGATGTCCTTGTCGTTGCCACTCCGAAAGTGAGGACTTCCTGAATCTTGGTAGAGCAGGGGTCTGACTCTTGCCCTCCTCTGATGAGGCTTGGATACTGTGAGCTGAGGGCCCAGACACACGTGCACGTTGTCACACAACACCCAGACTGGCTTCGGCCAGTCCTGAGTCCCTGGCTCTCAATGTCCCCACACTGCAGGCAGCTGACATGCCCCTCCCCCATGGTCAGAACAACATGTTTAATATTCTTTGTGCACTGGGCGGCCGGCGGCAGCTGGAAGGAGGAGGCAGTGGGCCACAGCAGCTGCCTTGCTGCCTCTGTGTGTGCCCTCCCCAATGCAGAGTTGTGAGGCCAGCAGCTGAGCTCCTTCCCCTCACCCAGGTCTGCTTCAGTCCCTCTCATCCCAATCCACCCCTCCCAGCCCGTGTCTGTGGACCGTCCACCATGCGCATTCTTCATCTCTGTATTCAAACTCCTGTTCCCTCCTCTCCCACCATAGTGGCGACACCTTCAAAAGGCAAGGGGGAGGACATGACAGCACCAGCTTTGGTCTCCTGACTGTTCCAGAACTCCTCTGACTGGAGGTGAGACCCGCTACGACACTTGGACATACTTGTTGATAGCATCATGTGCGGATGACGTCAGTGGAAGGCACCCTCCCAGTTAGAGTGCCTGGAGACCTGGCTTCCTCCCTACCTTTCATTCCCTTCTTCCCATCCCTTTTCTCTGAAGCTTCCCTGGGAGGTCAGGGCTTAAGCTCTTAGCTGAACCCCCAGGGCTAATTCAAGCTCAAACCAGGAAATACACAGAGACCTCAAAACCGAGGCCAAAGGAATGAGGGGAGTACTAAGGCAGAGTAAGGAGCAGAAGAGGCTGAAACTAGCAAGAGGGTCTGGCCTGAATCCTGACCGGCCCCCCCCCCACCGCGTAACCTTCCCCCCCATCCATACCTCCACCCTGCCCCACCTTTGCCCTGCTGGTGGGGCACTCCTACCCTGCTGGTGGCCCGGCTGCTGTCCCTCCTCCCCAGGACTCTGAGCAACCTTTCCACAGGGCCGCTGGACTTCATGGTGTCTGGCTGGCTGGGCTCTTGGCTGCAAGGCCTGAACAATGCTGGGGCCTGGCCTGGGGCTTCCTGGAAGCAGCCTGGCCCAGGCAGCCTCTTCCCTTGGGTGGAGGGGAGGCTGTCTAGCTGGTGTGTGGAGAAGCCTGGCCCTGGAAGTGGAGGGAAGTGCAGGCGGGAAGGGGGCAGGTCGCTGCTCCAGGAAGTGGGGTGGGGGAGGATGTGGGGGAGGCCAGGAGATCAGATTCCCAGGATCTACCCTGCTGGGAGTGTCAGCTCAAGATCTTTGGCTCTCCCCATCTCCTCTGGAGCTGCCTCTCACCCAAGGGCCACCCTGTGTAGGGGTCTGTGGTCCTGAGATCCAGCCCAAGAATCAGCCAGTGAGGCGGGGTGGGAATTCAGGTCTCAGGGCAGGCCGAGAAGGCCAGAGAACACTGTGTCCCCAGCCAGTCTCTAGCCTGGACTCGTATGCTCCCTTGGGACTTCCTGTGGGAAGGGAGTGGAGCTGGGAACTAGTACCCATGGCAGCCCAGGACTAAGACTCCTCAGGGTGAAAGAAAGTAGGAATTAGGGCCAACTTTCTTGAAGTCAGATGGGAAAGGATCATGCAGGGCCCTCCTCAAGGCCAAGTTCCAGCCAGAAAGCCCAGCTGCCCACACTAGTGGTCCATTTTGCAACCCAAAGCACTGGGAAGGCTCCACCTGAAGACCCCAGCTACTGTGGTCCAGGTAAGATCACAGTTTCTGGCTATGTGCCCTGCACCCAGGACCCCAAGCAACCCCCCAAACTGAGCACTACCTTCATGGCTCTTCTGGGCCTGGTCTCCTTCCTCTGTGGCTGTCACTGGGCCTGAAGATTGGACAGGAGGCCCCCTCCCAACACATACTCCACCCCCTCTAGGGCCTCCTGCTTCCCTCCTGGGAATTGGGCCAACTTCCTGTCCCTGGAGTCAAGGGAAGGAGGTGGTTGGGGCCTTGGAAAGGATGGAACAATCTTCCTTAAACAAGGGTCAATGGCCTGGGGGTTCTCAGCCCAAGCCCTGGACAGCAGCCTTTGGAATGCTGTAGCTGTCACTGGAAAGAATGTACAACCTTGTCATCCTCATTTGCATGGTATTTACTGAATGTCCCAGTTCAACTCCTCCAACTCTAGCTACATTCGCAGGGTCCCACAGCAGTTCCCTACTCTGCTCCTGCTCACCTCCCTGAGACTGGGAAGTCTGAGGTCTCTTTCTGTATGCCCCAAGTCTTTATGAAACCGGTGGCCTGTGTACCCTGGCTAGAAGGTGACACCTGAGTGGCAAGGTGTGGGCCCCCATCCTGTAACTGGAGAGGTCCACCAGCTCTGTGATCCCTACCCGAGTCCTGGCTGTGTCCCAGGACATTCCAGGCTGACGGCCAGGTGGGCAGCACCCGGTTCTGCTGGGGTAGATGGGTCATTGTAGTGCCTAAGTGAGTGTGGCATCTCCCATTCAGTATTTTTCTTCTGTACCAATAACACATAGTCCTACTTCTGCTGCCTCCAGTGGGACTGGAAGTCCCCTCCTCTGCGAAAGGTCCCCAAATATCCTCTGGCCTCGTTGAACTCTGGCTGCTCACCCTGACTAGAAAAGTGTTCTAGGTGACTGCGATGGGGACTGTGGCCTATGCAATGTGCTGGCTGGTCAAGAGCCCCACAGCTCTATGAGTGTCCCCACGGGGAGTAGAGTACTTCTGGAAGGAGACAGGGACAACCTATGCCAGGGGGATGGCTGAGTTGTCATCACCAGATCCTGCGGATCCTCACTTCCCACCTCCTGCTTGGAATATTCCAGATCTGTTTTTGCTTCTCTTCAGCCAGGCCCCCTCTTACTCTGAAGCCTTGGGTTTGTTTGTAGAAACCCCTCCACCCACCCCCACACCCCTCCTTCCTGGAAATAGCTGTGGTTGGATGAGAAGCTGGGAGCCGGGCCACAGAGGAGTGAGGCCCAGGAAAGAAGGGAGGGGAATGGAGGTAGGATTCAAGGGTGTATCCAAAGAGACCTAGGGGGTGTTTAGGCAGGACGGAAGTGGAAGATGGCTTATAGGAGGGATCGGCTTCATCTGTGCCTGCATTGCGCCTCAGTGTCCCAGATAGGGAACATGAGAAGAACACGCTTGGATGCCCTCTACCAGGCCAGGGCCGAAACATAGCTGCCAGCTGCCGCGGGCATCTTGTGTTCAAAGTGCGTTTGTCGTTGGAACTGGGGATGCACTCAGAGACTGGCCTGACCCTGCAGCAGAGCGCAGTGAGGCGCGGGAAGGCGTGGCGTCCTGAAGTAGGACCACAGCCGTGCCCCGCCCCCTGGTCACCTCTAGGATCTCTAACTGCCCCCTAGCTCCCTGCGACCAGGGCAGTGCTGGCCGCAGTCCCAGCCTCGGGCTCCCGCCGTGCCCGGTGTTCCGGGACCCCTGGCGCCCCCGCGCCCCCTGGCGCCCGCCCCTGGCTCAGACCGCGCGCTGTG